TATATCTTTAGACTCGTTCATATTTCTCTGTGTTTACTTTAAGTATCTGTTTAACTCGTTTGTGCATGCTTTAAGTCTGTTATCAGCATGTGTATCTATGTGTGTGTGTGTATCTAATCGAAATCGAGTTCATTTTACAGGTTTACAGATCAGGCAGTTATATACTAATTTTTCGCAGCTAGCTGCTATATACTAGATAGCTTCTCATATCGCTTCACTGTTTACAGTAGAAAAATATACAACAAAGGTCTTCGGTTTCTCTCTCTCTCTCTCGTTCTCTGTCTCTCTCTCGCGCGCTCTCGCTGTTGCTTTTTCCCCGTTCATTGATGAGTTAGTCCTTCATAGCGATCTGTCGCCAAAAATGTTCCGTACATCGACGAAGAATCACTTCGTCCAGGTTGCTGAGTGATCGCTCGGTGCGTTCTGTTCAGTCTCGATGTGTCGTTTCTGATTCTATTAACACTGCTGCATCACCACTAATTCACTATCATATCATAAGTGCTTTTCTCCCTGACAGAACAGTTTTTTATGCTTTGTATCTCACAAACGTTGTTTCCCCTGTTCTGCTACTATTTTCATCTCAGATAAATGTGTTATAAATATGTGTACGGCTTACATATCGAAATTGTCGTCTCTGTCGTTCCCCCTTGGAACATTAATTAGTGGCTTAAGAAGACTACACGTCTTAACTCTCTCCACCGTATGTTGTCAACGATAGCCTAGAACTTTGCCTACTGGACGCGTTACAATTCATTCAGTCGCTGCAATCGTTATTTTTTGTTTCACCTAGCGCAGATGAAGGTACGCCCCTTTTTGTTATTTCGGTCTTTAATCGAATTGTTTTTCCCTTATTTCTATATTATTTGCTAAAATTATCTAGGTATTTAGGTATGTACTTGTACACAAATCAATCTTCAAAGTGGATTTGCAGATCAATGCCTATAATTGTTATAATTTTCTAATTTCTGCATTGCTGAATGCTCCCGCTATTTTTCTCAGACGCTCTGCATTACGCCACACTAGCTAACCGCCAATAAGGAAATAGGTACAATATAACTGTTCAAACTAGATTTATCTAGAAAATGCATCGGTCACTCCTAGTTATCTTTGCCGGTTTCCATTACTCTGTCCCAACTGAACCAGCAGCGTCCGCCTGTTGCAAAAAATTTGGTCTCGAGTCTGCCATCTGACAGAGCTGTATCCGGTCGGCTCGACGGTGTCAGAGAAATTCGTCACTATATGAAGTCCTTGTTAAATAATAATAGTAATCATTAATTCAAAGTGGTAACCCATCATCATCGGGACAGGAGCGGATTTCATAACGTGAGTAATACTCTAGTAAACAAAATATGTGTCTATCATATACGTGTATGGGTGTAGGTGTCGTTATTAAATGAAGGTCGACAGTGATCAAATAGCCTAAGTTCACAAGACTGTAAACCACCATGGCTCCCTTTGTAGATTCGCACCTTTCCTAATGTAATCGTGATCACATATATTTGCCTTGCTGACTCTGTTTCACTGAACACCTTTCGAACTAACTACTCAACACTGACCACGCAAGAAAAGCGGATTATGAAACTATTACTATAAATCGAAAGGACCGGAATTGTTACCACGGACTTCATTCGAACGCCTTTTGTAGGGTATTGGATATGTATATCACTCATGTTCCGCACATTATCAACGCCTTCGTACGGTCAAGCTAGAAAATATGACTTCATCCACATTTAGCTCAGTTGAAATTAACACATACTCGCCGGAAAATAAGCAAGTGGCTTATGAGGTTCATGGATATCATCACTAGATTCGCGGTGGTTATTGTTACTCTAGTAGCGTAGTCATACTTACAGACGCCAACGAAGCCCGTGAACGGAACCAGGTAGATCGTTGTTCGCCCCTTGTTTTTTGTGTTTGAGGCTGGGACACAGTTGGTCCGGTTCAAACAGGCAAATAATGTATTGCTATTGTGAAGTATAATATTGTAGAAGATCATTAGGACCTCGATCTGTGACAGAGGTCCGTCGTGTATCGTTCCGCCCAGAGAACGTGATAAGGACAAATAATCGCGCAGTTATTTGGATAACTGATAGTTGCTTTTAGCGGTTATGATTTGGCTTGCTCGAGATTACTTTTTGTTTCTGTTCAGATCACATGTCACACTTTGACAGCTTCAGGTATTTCTAGTATTTCGCGTTACTTGTTTCACGTGCTTTCAGTGGGCATCTTGTCCGTTAGATAATGTGTTCGTCATTCGTATATAATGTTGATAAGGTACGCGCAGTGTATCTCCAGCGTACCGTTCTCGCAAGCATAGTTCCTTGTGAAGCTTCCAAAAATCGCGGCATCATCGACCAGACCCTTACCTCGAACTATTCTCGTGGGTCACGATTAGTTGCGATACAAAGGAACCGTCGATGTAAAATTATTCCTTCCCATTGATGGAAATGCGTAAGAGAGTGTTTCGTGTCAGCTTCAAGATTACTGATACTATCTGATCATTATTCATATATATATATATATATATATGTCATGGATCTCATGCACACATGTGTCGGTGGGCTACTTTGTCGATGAGCGCCTATGTCTTGCTAGCCGAACTACATCGTATCGTCTTTGTTGCATCACTATTTCAGTATCAGGAGTTGACTTCATGTTCTACTGATGATTCGCTTTATGAAGAGTGACAATGAAAGCGTAGATGAAGGATGCATTCACACACACATATTTGTTTAATAAAATGGAAACAGCTAAATGATGTATTGGCAAAGTAATAATGAAAAGTAGGATTATGTGTCGCTAAGTTCCACAGTGTGTCAAGCCGGTGTTTGCCGGTTATAGTTAGTTAGTTTGTTTAAGGGGACCACAGTGTAGTGGGATAAAACATAACTTAATATTGCAACGACGTATAATGAGGTCCCTTTACCACTGAACAAATCACAAACGGAACCGCTGGCAAAAAGGTACTCATCACTGGCAGGAAGCTTCAAAATCACGGATGCATCACGCTTATGCAGCATTGCGAAAACATTGTTGAATTCACTGAAAACTGAACAAGATGAAGAAATAATACATCTTGTGTATATATACGTTATATAATGACGCATCGCGCCAAATAGAGACACAAATCAGCAAGATAAATGACTGGAAAAAAGTTAATGAAATTATCTAAAGAAGGCACTGTCCCGACGTTTATACCGCAAGCAGTCGTACAATGCCTGCCGATCACCATAGTGACAATGATAAAATTCAATTATTTATACATAAAACTCATATACTATTATCTCGTAATCATAATAACAAATAATCGAAATTACTGAAATTATCATAACATAACCCAACAATCACTCATTGCTACAGACCACATTTTGATGGACTCCGCATCGTAACTATGATGTACAAGGCGGCCTTTTTCCGACCTTATCAAAACGTATTTTATATGATGTTGTATCCAATCACGTTTTGTCTATGGGTATCTACAGCTGCGAACGTTAATGAGGACATCCGCTTCGATCAAACGTTCCCCCACGCATCTAATTTTGCCTATAGCTACACGAGCAGTGCCACTGGGTTCGTATTATTGATTCGTAACGAAATAAAAGAAGACATTTCAAAACCAAATAAACAAATTAATATATTCACGCTAACATGACGAACAGAAAAACTATTCTTATTCTTGTTTGGTCTTTTTTTTTGTTTTTGATACAGGCATCTCTAAATATCCATTGATGGTATTATGACTGTTACTAGACTTCCATATAGATGTCAGGATTGGCGCAGCGTGAACATGTACAAATGTATACAAGATAATCATATATGTTCATTTATGATGACGAAATAGTGAATCCACCTTACACTTCTTGACGACCTCTAACAGTAATTACAGCTCCAACAGGTGAGCATCTACCACTACCATCAGCGTTCCTGAGATCAAAATCATCTATCGGCTGCTCTTGATCAATCACAACATTTACACGATCATCTATACACATCGTTCATTTATCCTCACTGCCACTCGAGGTGCCACTTACCCAAAAATGAACTAAACAATGAACTTTTAACAAAGAAATGTACCCTCAACCCTACTGCAGTTGTCGATCGGCATTTTCGTTTTAGTTATATATATATATATATATATATATATATATATATTATATATATATAATCTTAGTAGATAGTCTACCTACGTATCTTCACCGTCGCAAACTCGATAGAACGGGTTCCGATCAATACGTTTAGTATATAAGATATCATTATGTCCATGTTATATATCTTAGATGCGCAAAATGCAACATCTCGCCGCTCGCTGTGAACCTCTCTATGAGCCTTTTGCCTCTCCTTATCATTACAGTGCAAATTATCACCACAAGGTATATGTTCACATATTTTAGGTCAGTGGGCGTCCCTATCATCTTAATCGCTATCTCATGAACGCGTTCCCCATCGGAGTTCTCCCCATATCGTTTCCCTGATTTCGACTCCTGATAACTCACTCGATTGATTATTATAGCGACGAATGATGGCTGTGTAGCTATGCTTCTGCACCGATGTATCTTTAACTCCATAGCTGTATTATAGTCACGCGATTTTAAACCATCGGATATTTCAGACTATAACAGTATAATGTATCTGATAATCTTGCTGATGTTTCTCCTGGACATTATCAAGTACATATTATTTTCCATGGCCATTACCATCAGTTGTTGTATAGTCGATTGAAGTTTATTTTATAAAAGGTTCGTCTGCTTGAAAATGGACCGTTGTTGTATACACGACGTATTTCTATTCCTTATCATTTATATATATATATATATATATATATATATATATATATAAATGATAAGGAATAGAAATATATATATATATAGGGCCGTGTTCAGTCGACTTTTGTACGAAATCCATAATACTCTTTCTGACTGACAACACTCAACCTGTATCCACATATAAACACATAGTAGCGTGCCGTTCCGACACCGAATGCTCGCCAGGTCTAATTAATGAATCCTTATTTATGGTATGGTAGTTGATCATTATTACAGGTTAGGATTTAACTTGATTGGCTAAATCGCGCTTGACAAAAACAGAAAATTTGTCACAATTGTTCACGTTTGTGCATCATTATATATATATATATATATATATATATATATATATATAGGCGACAGGTAAATATAGCCAGCCACATGTCCCTGTTTGATCCAAATCATTAGCAAAAAGATGTACACTAACGATATTCCTCATTTGCCCACATATACAAAACGTTTCATCCTGAGGGGTAGAAATCGTAAAACCTTTTGAGGTGTCATCCTCGCCTATCAGCAAGATATTCATTGTATCAAAACTATACTCGCACCCCCGTTTAGACCGAAATATCGCCGTTGGCTGTAGAACTTATATATGCGTAATCGGGTATATAATTTTTCGTACCTACAATTCAGTTACTGCCACCACACACGCACACAAACAGCCCATGCTTTATCACTCACGCGTTCAATTTAAATTTCAGACTTGCCCGATTTTGGGACCTGCTGCTTTTTTGCTTGCACCACTTATTTGCCAAATGTGGCTTTTCCTACTGTGTTGAGACGCTCAGGGTCAAGCAATATAACTTCGCCCATATCAGACACCTAACAAAGGCAAAACAAATGAGAAAAGCAGCGTTATACCAAGTCACTTGATTTTCTCTCTGCAGGTTCAACCATCTGTGACAACATTCACCATTAACAAAAAATTAGATCGAGTTCTCTTTTAAACTCGCAAAAAATAGAATCTATACTGACGAAAACGAACCCTCTTAGGTGCCGACACGGCATGCTGCCGCGGCAACAACTGTCATCAAATCCTGTCCAACACATCGTTCCCACACCACCAAATTGATCATTTATTCAATTTCGTTTAATATTTATATATCATATTTATAGAGCTATGCATCAAAATGCATTAAATTATATAAATATATCCTTATTGTTTGTGTGCGTCGTTGAGATGGCTAGTGGGATCTTATTGTATCAGTAGATGGAAGTTCATTTGCTATATTTAACTGGTGACAACATCGATCTGGGATTTGAATGCCAATTTACTGGGTTCTGTTATTTGCCCCTTGTTTCGCTGCACGAAGCGAATGAAATTCCAGAACACCTCCAACTCAGCCGTACCGAGTCCTACTCGATTTTCAGCGCAGGCAGGTGCCTATCTACCTGACACTAGGTTATCGTTACTAAGTATACATATATATATACTTTATCCTCGACACTGTCTTCTATTCATGGAACGAATCAATTCACGCATCACTCGTTTTGACGCTGATGTCGCGTTATCTTAACTGATAATAGTCGCACCCAGACTAGGTCCCTGCGCGGTAGCCATTGTTACCCATTCTGATCGCGTCGAAAGTGGTGGACGTGTGATTGTGTTCGTCTTGCTATTTGAGTGTACAAGAACTTACGTTGTATCGCTAATTGAGGTCAAAAGGCTCAACAGTAATCAAGCCTCTCATAGGCCACAGGTGCTGCTGGCCGGCAAAACTGGTGAAAACGAGTTCACAAAATTTGTATATATATGTATATATACATACATACACATATATGAGTGTGTGTGTGTGTGTGTGGATTTGCGTTCATCTCATGTCACTGCGTGTTGTCGTATTTGTTATCGGCGCTTGAACGACGTTTGACGAAAGGATAAATCGGTCTCGATAGACGTATGATCGCAGATAAGAAGCAATGATTGACGACAGTCGGACCATGGCAGCTCTCGCTCGATTACCATTCTACACTCGAATCAATGCATAAATATCACTGTACGCGTTGGTAGGGGTACAGTCGCTCTGTGAAGTGTTCTTCGAGCGTCCGAGTTTTCCATTTCAGCCTTGGTAATAGATAGGCATTGCATGACAACGCTTTCTGTGCTTTGGGCTTCACACTTAACTGTTACCCATTTTCGCTTTTGAAGATCAACTTTTGTCAATACGATACGAGACGATGGATGATAACTTGCGTCGTACTTTTCACACCTTGTGGTTAAAATTTCATGCAACGGCACGACGCGGCTCCGTGTCTGCTGCTGCTGCTGCCACCGTTGTTGTTATTGTTGTTGCTGGACATTCAGGACGTTACAGTGTGACTCTCGGCGGCCGCCCTCGCCACCGGCGCCGAAGTTCACCGAATGAACTCGAACTCCGGCTCAGCCTTGATCTCGATTTTCGGTTCGATTTTCATTGTACCTGTGAATGTACGGGGACATGGCGTATGACGCAATGTCGCGACCGAGGAGATCAGAAGAAAGACACAGACAACACACATGAATGTGTGAAACTTCGTTTGCATACAGCCACTAATTGCCGTCACCGGTGAGGCTCGAGTCGTTCAGGGGACGCAATCGCTATCGTTCCAAACGAAGAGTGAAGTGCACGCATAGCATCATGATGTACTCATAGCCACCACGCAGAGGATTATGCAGAAGGGAAAGAAACGAATCAACTGAGAAGAAAAAGGCAAATCAAATGGGACAAAACAGATCTTCTTCAAAGCAGGCTTCAGATACACATGACATGTCGAGGAAAACATACGTAAGAATATTGAAATATAATAAAGATTTATTTACAAGGCTTGTACATGCATACACAAATGATACAAGACAAACTCAGCCAATGCTAGCATCAGCATCATGTTCACTTGACCGCCCATTTCCTTCAGGCCATAGTTCTTTCTTGGGATCCGCAACGTTATACAGAACTTGCTTATCTCGCAACCCCCTCTTAGTCTTTCCATTATTATTATTATCATCCCACAGAGGCGAATAGCGGAAGCGTCAGCTCAGCTAAATTATTTGGTCCTTGTTGATCTTCCGTCCGTTTTTGATGCAGATCTATTTCTATGGGCCCATTACACGCAAACCTCATTCGTCTCTCAACTCATTCATGTTGTCCTTGTTCATCTGCATCACATGCTTTAAGGTTCTGCAAACTGTCCTTCTACAAAATGTATACCCCTGCATCACCCCCGTATTTGATTCTACATTGTTCACGGTATTTTCTACACAGGCCGTATATACTATATACTAGTTATCATACATCCAGGGACCTTGCGCACGCATTCCATATTATTCTTCATCGACAACCACTACAGGCTGCATTGTCATCATATTCGTAGTAATAGTGATCACGATGCGGCAGCAGGAGATCCTTGGAAGGAAATATTTACTCGTCGAAAAAATACGTCCAACCCTGAGGCAGATATGACGTTTGTCATGCGTGCCCTGACGATTAGCTAACGTATCCGTGTTTCACTGCTTACGTGCTCGTATGCATGTTTGTCTGTTGATTTGCTTTGTGTTCATGTTTCGTCTTACTTTGCCTTCAATAGGCCAAAAACACATGCAGTCCATTCCATTCACGTAGTGAATTTCCTAGTTCTGTCCTAATCGATTGGAACGAGCGCGCATGATGCTTTTCTATTTACGACACAGCACTCGCGATACGGCATCACTTTATCTATACGGACTTTCACTCGATAGTAAGCAAGATTAAGAGGTCGTTGTAACTGCATCTATCGCCAGGTTGCCACAGTTGGTCACAATGTTGAGATTCTACATACTCTTGCTACACAGCTGTAAATTTTTTAGTTATCTGTTACTATGATCAACGGATACGTCCTTTTTTTTGTTTTCTACGCCACAGGAGATATACTATTATATAAGTTTTATAGCATCTTCATTCTTTTCATCATTATCCTTATTATTTTCATTATTATCACCAGCATTGTCGTCAGCTCTGCATCTCGTCTTCAATTGATGTTCACCTTGTGGTAATAATAATAATATCCATTATTGCGATCAGATTCAAATTTCGATAATTTTGTTGTTGCTTCGTTTAAGGCTCACTCTAGGCGATGTATTTTTGTGCGCATTCGTACTATGGTGCAACGTGGTCGCAGTGGTTGAATGTGATGACGGCGTGAAGATATAGGTGTTCGGAGTCCCGGTAGCACAGAGAGTGCCGCCTTCGGCATTGACGACCGCCCGGCGAGCGACGCCGCCCGCGGTTAGTACGAGCTTCTTAGTAGTTAGGGTTGTTGTCGTTGTGGAGGTACTGCTACCCCCTGTCGCTATCGAAGTTGAGTGCTGCTGCTGTGGGTGCACGATGGGACTGCCGGACGTGCTAAGGGTCACCGTTTGGCCGCTTCCACTTGTCGCTACGCTGACTCCGCTGCTGACGGCAGCCTGAATCAGTTGCGTGGACGTTTGGACCGTCTGAATTTTGTTTGGTGTCGGCTTGTTTTCGTCCTGGGGCTGCAGCGTTTCCCAAGTATCCCATGGACTGCTCTCAAACTGGTGGAATTGGATATACGAAGAATATATTCCGCGGTAATTATTTGTATGAGATTCGTGTGGTTTGAGATAACAATAGCCAAGTGCCACTAAGCGCTGTTAATTAGCAAAGACTAAGATATTACGTATAACTGTTATAGAAGTCTGGAGGTTGACGATGTCATTACTGAGAGTAAAGGCGAGTTCTTATATTTACATACATGTCGAACAAATGAATGTGTAAATGTTTTTTATTAGTACATGTGGTTTTTGTGCCCAGATCGTATAGCGGATCCGGTCTAGCATCTCCTACCTTTTCCAATGCGGAACTGTCGATAAGTTTGACCTTGACGGAACCTGCCTCTTCATCCTGAGAGGTGGGCGGTGTATCGGGTAACAACGTGTCAATGTCTTCATCGGCAGATGAGTGTCCGCCAGCATCTTCCATTTCATCTTCTAAGTCTTCGAGATCATCAAGGCTATCAGTGCAGCCTGCTTCACCTACAATGTTCCCATATGCATAATCAGAGAAAAGTGCATACATACTACATATTGAGGATAACTACTGTTTATTGTAATGGACACACCGAGAAAAGTGCACGTGTTCACCGGTGGTACAAAACTGCCCACGGGCATCATGGAATCAGGCGAAACGGCCAAAGCAAGCTAAGGCTTTTTTGCCGCACGCCAACGAGAAAGCGAGGCTAAAACGTACGCCACCCCTAACGCTTTCTGTTGATAAAACATGTTAGCGTGCCATAAAACATACATCTCGTAGATAAGAGGCTTCTATCGGTATTGGCCAATCGATTGACATACCGCTTGATCCGTATAGCTCCTTAAGGAAGCCCTTCTCAAGAAGTTCGAGGCGTTCAGGCTTTGCCATGGACCGTCGAATGGCGGCGGGGTCCTTCTTACTCCATTTTTGAACTTCCTCGTCCATCTTGCCCACCTACAAACAATTAATGAATAGCGAACGAATTCATGAGAGACAGAACCGCTGCTTTATTAAAAGTATTTTTTCAACAGCTGCTAGACGCTGGAAACGCTTCGAAAATTAGAGAAGTACTAGGGACATTATATAAACCTATCACGTTTTGGTTTGGATGTTCGTTTTGTCGATCTATGTCGATTTATACACACCTTTGAAGGATTCATGGCCCAAAGACAGCCTTTTCGTTGGGTTCCATTTGGCCCTGTAGTGGGCTTCTCGATCTTCTCAAAGCATTTGTTCAGCGATAGATTGTGCCGTACGCTATTTTTCCAGCCATTAGGGGCCGTCTTAAAATAAGGAAAGTTCTCACTGAAAGGCATACATCACACAGAAAACATGGAACGCGGAAAGGATTTCTAAGTAAACCGTCTACTTTTGTCGTAAACGTATTCGCTGCAAAGTAAATCGGGATTCTAACACTAGCTAAAGCCTTTCACGTTCTACTGATATTAAAAAGGTTAACCAAAACAAAAGAGAGAGTAAATAATTTTTCCATCATTTTTCGAAAGTGTCGAACGAAGCTCTGAGCTTTAGTCATGCTAAGAGCCTTCGAACGTTTCGAAAGCATCATCTTCCAGTTGTAAAAATGACTATCAGAATGAATTCAGCTTAAGCTTTACCATAGACGTTCTCAAACACGTGAATATTTCCATTGAACAATGCTATTTTACGCTATCAAGGGATGAACTAAATCTATTGAGCAAACGGGCGCGGGACACTAATGACTGCGTCTGAGGTCGTTCCCCGCTCCGACGTCGTCCAGCGTCTCGGTGGAAACGTCTTTACGACCGTTGGTCAAGTACCATCCAGCTATAAAGACGTAACACGTATCATTCTCGCGTTAACTAAATTCTCGCCTCTTTTTCCTTTAGGAAAAGCAATCACAGAGACGACACGGTGTGTCGGTGAAAAAAGTACAAGGGAAAGCGGAAGCGAGAAAAGACTAATAATAATCATTCACTACCGTCATACGCGACGACTACGAAATATCAGTATTTATTTCCCTTTTGACAAGATATCTACGACAACTTTTATACTTAATCATGGAATGCCACTGTCTATGTCGTAAAGTGAGAATTGTTTCATGAGTCAAAGAGCTGCCTGCTTCTGTAGCAATGGTCGGCTCGCTCAATCGATCACACTTCCCGGTTGCCGTAATTTCTGTTAGTATAGCAAGACAAACAGACAGGTAATAGAGAGAAAATGATGAAAAAGACAGACCCGATATTTTCTAGCGTTTGAGCTGCCCCTCAGCAGTTAAACGGTTGTCCGAAACGCTGGCACCGCTATGAGAGGTGCCAATTACAGGCGAGATCTGAAAGAGTCTGCTTTACTGTGGTGCCGGAGTTAATATTGACAATTGTTATTGCAGAAGTGGAACAGTACTACTGGAATATGTTCAACTGAATCTGATTGGTGGCACGGGGCAAATTAACGTTGAAGCAAAATTCTAACGTAATGTTTGTTCTTTTACCGTGTAATGTGGCGTACGAATTCAAAATATAAATTTCTTGAAAATTATCATTATATACGATAATGGGTGTCATTATGGGCACAGTGTATTTTTGGGTTTGAAGCAAGTAGGTAGTAAGAATATTTTTAATTGTTGTCAATTGTCCAAAACACGAGCTCAATATAGCTACTGGTTTCAACCAAGCTGAATATCGCAATGGTTTTATATCCCGAAATAGATCTGACCGTATCATTAGCGGGGATAGGATTTTAGCAGAGATATTGACCTGAAGAAGTCTAATATTCCCATTGTCACATAAAGAAAAAATCAAATTTTTGCACACTATTATGTCATCGTTGTGATTGTGATTTAAGCATAAATGTAAAGCTACTATAATGACTGAACGTTGAAGATTGGGTTTCTTTAAAGAAAATCGCGAATAGTTAGGAAATTTGTAGATTTAAATTCACGTTGTGTACGGCCTACAATAGGCTGAGTAAATTTTGTAGGTTGTCAAAACGGCCCCAGTGACCGTACAAAATGCTCAAGTTCGGTAGCGGTAAAAGCGTGAATAGTTCTCCTTGGCGGTAGCCACACAGAAAAGCCGACGATTCATCGCCCGCAATATCCTGCTCGTTATGCTTTCGCCTCAAACAGGTTACGTACAAATAAAGTCGTTTTGTTATACCCACTACAGTTGTAGAATTTCCCCAGGCTAGGGTTCGTCTCGCCGTTGGCTTCTATCGATGTGTCGTCAACCAAACGCTTTAAATCTACCAGTCTTTTGTCACACGAGCAACACAATGAGAGAGAAAAAAGGCCGAAATAAAGCGAAATATTAAATCACAGGTTTACAATACTATACTCGCCTAACATACCAAGCGTATAGTTTAAATCGCTCATTCAGCGCATGTTCGAGCCCTCATGGGTCACACCGTCCATAGATGGCCCGAGGCATACAATGCCCTCTGCCCTGCCTCTTCGTACGATAACCGTAATTATATTGCTCGTTGCTTCTTTATAGAGGTCAAATACTTGATTTTGTTAAATATCAATACGATAAACACGAAGCACCGCGAAAAAAAAACAACGGCGACGACCACAATACCGCGCCAAGATTACATTCAAAAGGGTAGCTAGCTGATTTCTTAGAAGTGGAAAGAGCAACAACAACGACTACAATACTCATAACAACAAGAATTGTCTAACTCCAGAAGCCATCACAGACCAATTGTTGCTGACTCAGATTCAACCATCGGCCAGTAGTATTCTCCTTTCCTGTCTTGCGCCGCCGCCATCTACCCACTCATGTGTTCTGCCCTCGTCGATTCGCTTCTAGGGGTTAATTACGGCCAGGAGCACCTCCACCGTAAAGGTCCTTGTTAGCTAAAATAGAGTATAACTCTCTCAATTCGTCCGCACACTATGTGCCATTGGCGAAAACTGACGGATGGCTAAGCTAAGGAAAAAAGCCGAAGCTGACGGGCTTTCTTTCCGCTTTTGTTTTCTGTTGTTTGGCCTCTCACCGATTTCTCGTCTTTTTTTGCCTCGCTTTTAGATTAGAAGAAATGCGCATTTCTTTTTGGTCACTTACATTTACTTTTCTGGCTGCCACGGTTGCCCCTGCTCAATCCTGTGGCGTTTCAGTCTCTTTTTTGGAGAAGGATGCGTGTGGGCACCACTACACTAACACTGCCCCATTCGTCTGCCCTTTTGCCAGTGTGATAGCGGCTGTTTGTTTCTGTGTTGGTGTGTGTGTGTGTGTGTGTGTGTATGTGTGTGTGTGTGTGTATGTATGTCGACGTAGGGTATTAAAGTGACTGCGCTCGGTGCGTGCCAGAACACTCCACAATAGTAATAACCCACGTCTTTACCAGCGGCGATCAGCACCGGCTGGCTGTAGTGCCAACGGCCGCAGTCAAGGACAAGCCGGACAATCAATCGACGCTAGCTAAGGTATCATGGCCTTTTGTGCAGCAGCCGCAGCAGCAATCCCCACTTACAAAGACAGAGTCAAGCACTTCGTAGCCCACCATAGAGCCATCGTCAGTGCTTGCTTTTCCCCGCCTCTTACCCCTTTCTTCGACTCAGAGAAATGTGGCAATATTCGTTCTTTTCCTCACGTCTTATTCTGTAGCTTCTTCCGACGCGATCCGTAGCCATCAGCGTCGTCGACGGTTTGGCACCTTGCCGATGCTGCTGACGCCGGTAAATCACAGTGGTCGCGGCGGCGACAACGACAAATAAAGTTCGTTTTTTATTTTCGACTTTCTTTAGCTTTCATTGTCGCGGTGCTTTTTTTTTTCATTTTATTCTGCATATTTGAACAATACCAGACATAGCTTGAGATATGCGAACACCGCACGTGTTCGTTTACTTCTAAGAAGATGAAGTTTGAAAAACAGAAGAATCAGCGGGGACACGACGACAAGAGTTAAACAACAGGGCAAGGGCATACGTGAGATGTAAAGCAATGAAAAATGACCGGGGGCGTAACGACGAGAACCGTCATTAAATAGAAACGGAAGCAAAAATTCTATTAATAAATTGCACGATATGGCCATGTGCTTCGTTTGAGCATCGTTGGCCAGCGATCGTAACTCTTGCAAGTTGCGCGCAACGAGTAGGGCGCACTTATGATGTTCAAAAGCTGCTACTTATTTTTGCTATAAGAATGATCGAAAACTCTTGGTAGGTATAAGCTAACCATACGAGTAATTCATGCAGGCGTTTTTGAGACAATAAGCAGGCGTTACACATTTGACGAAGATGATAGTAAACGGTGCGATAACTAGTAAATTAAAACTATTGGACTTTTTCTAGGCTCAGGCTTGCTTGTTCGTGAGTATATATAGATAAAGTTGTTTTCATTTGGGGCCTACAAATGGCAGATGTCGATTAACTTCCTATAAAATCCGCTGGGCCCTGCATTCTCTGACTTACAACTATACTTGTGTTTGCCCACAAGTCATGCAGTTGACATGTAGGATTGAAAGGTAAACAAAATCTTTACCTTTGCCAGGTTTCTGCCTACCGCAGCATTGTAGCAGGACGACTCCGCTAACATGTCCTTTTTCTAAAGCCATTTTTCCTTGAGTGAATCATACGGTTCATAGACCTTCGGGTCGAGCTTAGGTCCACTAGCAGCTGTCCTGCAGTTCTATTGTTTTTATTAGTTGCTCTTCCACACTGTCATTGAGTCTTGGAAGAAAGCTTGATTTTATGTTATGATCTTCATCGTTGAAAGCAGCTCTATACGAAATCAAAATACATAATAATAATATAATAATAATAGTAATAACACAACCTAACATTAATTCCTTTATGTGCGTAGAGCCCCGACGAAAATCCATTAGAGCACATGGTGAGTTGCGTCTACAGTCTTACAGCGCTGAGTCTATGAATGAACATGCTTATCATAAATGGGGGGTTGTTGTTCTTGACGAAATAACATTATTACAATGGGTCTGTTCTCGCAGCTAGTTTACTTAGAGCGACCCACATGGTTATCGAACACCCCAGGTTTCAAATTATCTTCATGCTAAATTAACACACGGAAATAGAAGATTTGGTTAAGTTTCTCTGTAAGCGGATACTTCATCCAGCCCTTACGTCCTACTAAGATCATCTGTAAGAGTAAATGAGAGAGTGAAGCTTTTGTGAGCTTGTAGTGCTGGTCCCTTGTCAACATAAAGTTTGTTATTCTTTTACTCTGTATACAACGCACCTGGTAACAGCATCCCGTGGGAAGAGGCGAGTTACCTCAATTCCATTTTGAATGGTAGTTCGGCATAGGGCATAACGGTAATACATGACGATGACTGTGTCTGCTTGTTTAGCTAAGTTCATTACGATATCACAACGGTGATATTCATTTATATATCTCTTAGGACTCTAAGGACTGGCATTTAACGGAAGTAGTGTCGAAGTAGTAGTCGACTTGTAATGTGGCTCCGAGTTCACCCTCGGAACAAGATTCAGCGAATATTTCAATAGAGTCTTTCCTGTATGGTCTCTTCGTACCTCGATGGCCCAAAACCCTTTCAACCAGTATTGCTGAAATTCGTCCCATCTAAGAATTTGTTGCCTAAAGTTTTCATTCGCGGTTGCTCTGTCTGCCACTCTTCAAATAACCCCCCACACACACGCGAATAGAAATCGTGTCACGCGTCGAGATTCAGCTCTGTCTACGAGGCATTCTGTTATGTCGCGGAACAGCGACTTTCGCGGGGCTACTCCACTGGAAGGTGTGCGTCAAATTTTCGTATGATTTCAAAGTCCCCTTCGTTTCTCGATAACGACAATAACAATACCGTTGGTACCGCCAATAAATCCGACGTATCTCACAATGCTACGGAGCCACCACGGATTCACGGCTCTAACGTGCATTGCTGCCTATCGCGCATTGCACTGCCTGCCACTCACTGCTCACCGGGGCGCTGGCATTTTTCGTCTCGGAGCGGAGTGAGAGCAAACATTATCAGAACAGCAGCCGCTGCTGTTGGCCATGAACTTGACGCGATGGCGTGAACCCGTTGCGGGTCGACAGCGGAAGACTCGCCAACATCGCCACCAGCGACGATGGAGGCACTGCGAGACGGGCGACGGGAGAGTCCCTTGCCCGTCGCAATTCTTTTAGCTGAGTGAGTGAGTGGCAACATAGGCAAACTCGACGACTCGTTGCCTCTGGGCGATAAATTGACGCTCCGACTTTAGTTGCGGCCATCAGTAACCTCAGCTATTTGCGTTAGTTGGCTTATTGAAATCGTTTTGGACAAGAGTTGAGCACAGCCAAGCTAAGTCAACATGTCACTAGCCAGCAGGGGGCGCAGTGGCAGCGGCACTCACCAGAAGTTAAAACCGTTTCTGGGTCCGACCGGGCTTCAACAGGCGGCGGCGATAGCAGCGAACGCTACAGCCAAGGAGCGACAAGCGTTCGTTGAATAGAGTCTGGAACTGTTGGCAGTTCAGCAGTGCGCACGACCACGTGGCCGTTGACCAGCGCCGCCGAAACGCTATACATCCACAAGCGACGATCGTTACCATCAGCTCTATACCTCTCTCTGATCATTTTCTCTCTCTGACTAAATATTCTTGAAAATAGCTGCAACTACCTATCCAGCGGGTCCGCTTTATCACTATACCTTCTTATGCTCCCTGCTGCTGCTGCCGCTGCTGCTGCTGCTGCTGCTACTACTACTATTACTACTACTATTACTACTAGTACTACTATTACTACTAGTACTACTATTACTACTAGTACTACTATTACTACTAGTACTACTTTTACTACTAGTACTACTATTACTACTACTACTATTACTACTACTACTACTACTACCACTACCACTACCACTACTACCACTACCACTACTACCACTACCACTACCACTACTACCACTACACACTACCACTACCACTACCACTACCACTACCACTACCACTACCACTACCACTACTACTATTACTGCTGCTTCTGCTACTGCTGCTGCTGCTGCTATTGTTGTTACTGTTGCTGCTGGCGATGATCATGATGACTTGATTCCTGTTTTTCTTCATTACGGCGGAAAGGCTAGCGCCTAAAAATCGACAACGATTGTCCGAGAGCGAGGGGTCGCAGTTGAAGTAGCAATTGAAGGCTGTAATACAACAATAGTAATGCTAATAGCCATGATGACGAGATATAATAGTAGAACGGCGTTCGTTGTTGACATGGCGATGATGATGTTTGTTGCCGAGGGCAATTAACTGGATTGCCAACGGGCTTCAGCCGATCCGAAAAAGTTGACAACTATCAAAATGGATCAAAGCAGCAACAGCAGATTACACATATTTTACCAGTTTTTACCACACACCGCAACCAAACAGCGTGGCGAGCAGCATGGACATATCTAACAGACACCACAACGCAAAATGAGAAAAGAGGATAACGAAAAAACAACGCCGCGATGATTATGTGAAACAGAAACAAGGTAGGAGACGTTAACGACTGCGGCGGTGGCAGCGGGCAAACGCAGAGACCCGCTTTACATGGATACCGACCGGACCGAAGGACTACCGAAGTGTTTCGGACTGTACCCGGATCTCGCGGAACTCCGCAACTGGCTGAAACATACGAAAGGGTCGCTGGCTCGGAAAAGCCCAAGTGACCATTTCGATTTTAAGAGTCAAAAGTTAAACAGCAAAATGCAAATTGCCTTTTGCGTAGCATTTCTCAACTTGTTATTATGCCTTAAAAAACCAGAGTTCGTGTTTTGTTGTTGTTGTTATTATCGGCGGCGTCGTCGTCGTCGTCGTCGTCAGAGAAGAAGCGGTGGCAATGGACAGAAATTCGCCTCGCGAAGAACATACGCGTAGCCTAGTTGAACTAGACTAGAATAAGTTAAGTAGGAATAAACCCTTAGTTCTTGATTAGCGGCCTTTGAAGGTCTGTTCAAAAAAAAACTTGAAAAAAAGGAATGTAGGAGTTTGCCTTGTAGTCAGTTTTTGAGTAATTTGACGGTCAGCCGCTCTGAGACGCACAGGGCGTGAGCTTGCGTGGCTAATAATCAAAGCATATCGTTATAAGAGAATAGCAAAACAGGTGAGCCATGGTTTATATATATATATTATATATGTGTGTGCAGCAGATCAACAAACGTGTTCTAAACAAAGCTTCTTCAAAAGTTCTTTCACTTAAAGTGATTAAGCAAATATGCGTATGCCTATTTAACCCCGTAAATTCCCGTAGAATCAAGTTGTCCATGCCACGCAACACGCAATTATAACTTGAAAAAAGTTAGTAAACAGCCACGAAAATCGACTAGTATTTTTACTACTACGTCAATCACTGGTAAGTTAAGGATATCTGAATCACGTTAGGGAGTAACGATTGTTGCATCTAACTACAAATTCCTTCAAAGTTCATTTTACTTTAGACTTTACTACAGGACACACGAGTTTCTGACTCTGCCATTGTTTTCAGTTTTAGCCATTCTTTTGTGGTATAACTCCTTTTATACGTGCGCAAGTGTTCTATACAATCACAGCGTTGTCGTGGTCTGTTTTTTGCTGTTGCATCGTTGTACTTACATCATAAAGTTGTATATTTCGTTTACCGGGAGCGAGCCCGTCTTCGAGTTTTTGAGCGCCATAGCAATCAAGCATGAATATGAGTAGGCTGGTTTGGGAAAGACTTTGTGCGAACCCGCGCCTGGGGCGCCTGGACCACCACCTGCCCCGGCGCCCAGCGCCGTTGTGCCCCCGAGCACATTCGCTGTTAGGACGACACTTCCCAAGCCTCCATTGGCAGTAGTTCCGTTTATCAAACCGGCGGCCTCATCGGCAGTGACCGTCAGCCGACCCTTCTTCGCCGCTGGCTGTGATAGTGAGATCTGGCTTACCTGTGATTCAAATCAAAATGATTCGAAAAATGAAAAGAAAAGTTAATATTTTTTGAACCTGCTTGACCCCTTTTTGAAAGCTTCTGTACATTTTCAGAGGGGCATCACAGTGATACATAGAAATGTTTGCATAGATTCAGCTAAGTCCTCACTAACGTGTTTGGCTTCAAACGAATATGTCATTAAATCAACTTCAAGATAGACGAGGGCACCATTGTATAAACTGTAATAGTTTAAAGAAGCTATGAAGGAAATCAAATCACGCAAGGGTTGAGGAACGTTTAAGCGGTGTGTACATTATTGGCCTGTTGTTGCTGTCCTAACAGCGCCTGGACATTGGATGCAGTGAGGGGCTGTGGTGTCGAACTAACCACGACACCCCCCGAACCCCCAACCCCGCCGGCGACGACCGCTCCAACTGGAGTGGCAGCTGACGTTGAGTTACCTGCAATAGCGTGACAAATTAGTTAAATGTGTTTCTTATAAATCCGGTACAGATTGCATACATGCTTTATGGTAAATGGATTTGAAGATATAACACCGCTATAATTTCGCGGAAATAACCGTGAAAATGTGCGCACTTTTTGGATGTTCGTTGGCAGCTTACTTTACAGTATGTAAACTCTTTCCGAACCCAAGAATCACCTATTTTCACACATCTGCTTATATCATTCACATAGTCCAATCTGTATCAAATGAACGACATATTCCCATTTTAAGACAACATATATATATATTGAAAATATTTAATGTACCTGCCATTTAAGTTTGACAAATATGTAAATCCCTGTATCTGTCTAAATAGAACAGGTTTATAGAATAAAACAAACATATGTGTGTGGTAACGTTGGTGAGGCAAAACGTTTTTGACAGGAAACTACTACAGTCGCCGGGGCGGATTTCCACGACGACAGTCCAGTAAGGCGTAACTTCATTACGAATGACCTTGGAAATTACCTCTATATACAATTGTTCAGTATTTGGTGATATCGAAACGACCAGATGAGACCCAAATCGATTCGGTTTCTCAAATGATGACCACTGTTCTTCAGTGGAAATTCTGCGATGGTAACGTCGTCTTTTCAGAGAACTTTCAGAGAGAAAACTGTTGTTTAGGAAAAGGAATAGGTTCTATTCAATGGTAGGTACTCATACGTTCTCGTAGTAATTGAGGCACTCAAAGCTGGATGGACGACACCGTAACTAAAACGATCAGTAATATTAACTATTCAGCTATTAATTTCTATTTTGGCAATAAGGCGACCATTGGAGGAGCTGCTCGTTATAGGAGGGTGACAATATCTAAAATACGAATTTGATTGTAGCAACGATGACGCCTTAAACGCTTTGTTAGATATCGCTAAGAGGGACCCTCAACGGCTCGTTCAGTTCCGCGGCGACTTCACCTCAAGAAGCTGTATATGTGTCTAACCTAACAGTATGTATCCAGCCGGTCGTACCTGAAATATCATCATATCCTTCCACGAGTGCCAAACCTTCAGGCAACCTCGCATTCGATTAGAATTCTATAAATTATTTTTAATGGTAGCTCTTTTCATAATTAATCAAAGTGTCGAACCTGACAACAATCGTACAAGGTGTCTACGTGTTGTTATATGATTGTACATGTCACTGAAGAATGAACGTGTTGGGAGTAGTTTCTCCTCGCCGACCTCAGCGTCTAGCGCCAAGCGCCTTCACCCATTATTTCCCATTCAGTTTCTGCAGTTCAATTACCGTTGGATGATGGCACGGGTGCGCGTAAAACGCTCGATCGCGACAATGAATTCCTTTAGAGAAGTGGCAACCATCAGAACGGCACAAGAAATACTGGCGGCGATAACAACGACAACGGAGCATGAAGGCATATCGCATAAATCGTCCTCGCCGTCGTTATTGTCATTGTACCTGCCCTTCTCGCTGCTGTTGAAAAAAGAAAGCTTACGGCAGCCCGTCTATAGCATGGCAAGACAGGACATGTGTAGATTTTTTCTATTGGAAAGAGAAGTTGAAGGAAAGACGTCGCCTAAAGAACATTAAGCACTTAGCCGAAGAACACAGTGTCATCAATCTAAGCGACGCCGCTCTTTCGTGATAAAGCCCAGCGAAGAAAGTCAGCGAACCTAGCAGAGGCCGAAGCAAACGTCGACCAGGAAGACTTCAACAGGGATCGCGGCGAAAAGTCGTTTACCATTGGACTGTCGCGCCCAGTCGTCATAGACGCTATGGCGTAATCAGTAAAACCGGCCGATCAAGACCGACCCCGCAAGGGTACAACGACGGAACAGCTGAAGACAACAAACGATAGACTTCTATCGAAAAAAAAAATAACAGAAGCAAGCTGTGCAGTATTTTTTTCGCTCGGCCTTGTTGGCCGTTTGCCTGGCGACCTTTAGTGGCGGGCCGTTGGGTATCATCTGCTGTGACAGGGACGAATGTCCAGGCACTAAATCCATAGAAGAATCGTGGTAGCAGCAGCAGCCGATACCGCAGGCAGACCAGCTGCCAGTCCGCTGCGGTTTTGACGGTCAGGGAGGCACTGACAAGGACGAGCACGTGCAAGCACACATACACTGAGCGGATACTTGCTGTTCATCGAATATCTACGTCCTTGATAAAGCATACAACCATAGCAAGGCCTGACGGTATTCATTATTCTGGCCGTTATCATTTGGACGCTGAAACAGGGCGGATATTGTTTAGGTAACAAATGTATTAATTTTTATTGTTCAGTAATATTATGTGTATTCATTGTTCTTCAATCTGATGGTGTCCCTTTGCTGCTAGCCGCGTTTTTCGATACTTTACGAAACGCTTCCTGTCTTCCTTTGTCAAAAGCGTATTTGACTTTTCCCCTCGCGTTCAACAGGTCCACAACGTCGCTGTACAACGTCTTATGATAACTAACTTCTTCCGTAGTTGGCGCATCTGTACTAACACGTAGCAGCTGATGTAGCGTCCAGGTTCGTTATACATTTCAGTGTACTAAACAGTTCTGTAGTAAGGCCGTATGAGTGGTCAGCTTGGCCTCATATCTTTCCTAGTTAATCCTGTTCCTATAAATTTAGCTCAAAAGAGCTGATCATGATTAATCGATAGAACTTTGGATAGATTTTCATTTTTATGCATGAAATTAAGTTATGTTTCTTTGGTATATGAGGGACAAACTATGTATTCTCTCTTCGCGTGCAACCACTATTGAAGAACTCGTTTGGCTTCTACTTCCCTGGTAACAGATAAATTGGCTTTTCGTGGTAATCGATTGCGCACCTACAGATTGGCCCTTAGCTATAATCCTATGCTTCTTTAATTCTTAATTACTGTAGCTAATTATCGAGAGCATTTACTTATACGATTATCGCAGAATAAAGTGAAAGCTTGTCTAATACAAAGGCTAGATCTGCGTGCAGCAACAAACACTTCACCATTTTTTTTGGGACAGACCCAAGGAACAGTTACGTGACGCACGTCAAAGCGTCATGACAAAACCCGCGCCAGCTGCCACAAACGGATTGTAAAAGAAGAAACGCTATACCACTGACCGTACAGTTCAATACCCTGCACACGATTATGCACCTCCCCGTGCCCGCTATCCGATGCTGCCGCTACCGATAATAGTGACGGTCCTTAGGTACTAACTAGGTACTAATAAAACAAAGGTTTCTTTTCTTACGTCTTGCTTCATTAGAAGTTAGTGACCTCACGGTCGAACTACAAACATCATGTTGTTCTATTTCTTTGACAATTTTAAGATTCCTTAGTTCAGCATAGATTCCCTCTACGCCAGCGCGGTGGATACTGCCAACAAGGCGTAATGTTTGTTTTCCGCCAATTTTTTCATATCAATGCAACAGCTTTATCTATCCAATTACTGGCAAGCAGTAATTGACGTATAGATGTTGCCCCCATGCCAGAATCACTAGCTAGTCATAGTTCAGTTTGGCTAGTACTCCGTTGGGTTCCATTTACACCAACAAATCTGCCCGCAGTGTAGGCTATTTCATGGAGCATTCAAGGCGTTGAATGAAATATTTTAGGCCCAATATCTTTTAGCGTCCCAATTCGCTGTGTGTGAAACAGTCGCATACGATCGGTTCCAATTATCGTGTGTAGTTTTCATTTCACCTCGAACGGCTTCGAAAATGACTTCTTGAGAAACGTGTTTTTTTTATTCGTGACGATTGCATTCACATCTCGTCCTGATTACCTTTGTTGTCCTGTTTCTCAATCACAACTCTTATACAGCGCGGCGTTCAAGTTCAACTGAACCAGATCGCTCTTTTCAAGTAGTAACTGCTCAAACTTCGCTATAATTTAGTCTCTTCTCAGGACTGCGTGAATTGAAATGATTATATCGCAAAGCCAACCCTGTCAAGTTAGCAACAGACTCGCTATTTCTGTGTCTTTGAAGGAAACTGGGTTCGCCCCATCGTTAAAGCTCAGTCTTAGCCGTCGATCAGATGCACATAAGCACGTATAACGTCTCGTACTTGATGCCGGTGGGCAGCATTAATGTTTAATAGCCTGACATTGTATCTGGTCGCCAATGTCAAGAAGTATCTTAGTGATGCGCACTTCCTGTCATCGGTAAGCCTTCGTCCGACTACAGCGGTATAGACTTTGGATGCCTCAATCTGTTACGACCGCTCCATTGACGGCTGCGTGACAGGCGCTTGAAGAAACAGGAGCGGCACATTTAGACTGGATATCATGAACGACGTTAGTCAGTCGTCAAACGGCTATGAAGTGCTATAGAAATAAGTGTGAGTGAAGCATTATACTCTTGTACAATTCTGTCTCTAATCATAGTCAATGTGGTTTGCTACGACTCACTGCTGCTGCGCGACACCTCACATTCACGGCAGACAAAATCATTCGACTAGAATTAGAGTTGTACGGTGTTTATCGTTGCAAAACAGTTTACATACAGTTGCTTTTTGTTTGGTCCAAAATAGGTCTTATGCCTATTAGTATTTCTCCTTTTTAAGGGCAGCACCTTTATCCAATCGGCTTCACGCGAATCTCCCTCTTTGTTTTTAGCGCTACATGATAAGGCTTAAAGGGCTCCAGAACGAAGCTCATCCGAAGCCAACCCCGGGACGCAACCTCCCCACGAGATCTCAATCATGAGTCATCACTGCTAACTCCAGCTTCTAAGGCATCACTATGCATTACCTCTCCAGCATAAGACCAACAATTACCAACCAATCGATTGGTCGATCGATCAACTGGCTTCGTTTGGAAATCTCCGCAGATCCATCCTTCTACTGGGTATTGATTCACAATTTTATCGAATATGAAACTGTATTTCCCATTATGGTGATTTCCAGATGCGATTAAACTGGGTTCTAGGTTCGACAGAAAGGCTAGCTTTTGATCCGAAGAAATCAACGTGATACAATTGTTTCTCGAGCGATTCGAGACATGGCTTACATGGGAACATCGCGTAGCTCAGAGTGAGCTCAGTCCACCTGAACATAAAAGCGCTGAAGCGGGCCGTCCGGATCAAGCTCATCGATTCGATTCGAACGAACGGGAGGCTCAGAAATCTAATTAAATATTCCACGTTACGAATAAGATTCTCTAATACCTGTTCCGCCAGTTCGATGCAATTTCTCACTGTCTCCAAACCAGGTATTTAAAAACGCGTATGACACTATGGGCAACAACGAAACGTCAGCACACGAATTGACGGCAAAATAACCAGGTAAGGAAAAAGTAAAGGCACTACTACGAAAACCTATTATTTTAAGTCTATACAGATTTACATTAGTCCTAAACGGTTCTCAGTGCTCAACGGATTGCGCCCTCCACATTTAAGATGAACAGCGCACACGCTTTTCGTCTGCGGCTACAACGCGTTTCTGTCGACTCTCTGCTAGCCGGTCAGTCGAGCGGACGACGAAGTTTCCAACCATCTGTTACTTCGGAACTCTTCGTCGGTCCGTACGAATAGCGAAGTTCACCAACGGACCAGCCTATAAATCACAGACATACTCGTTCTACCACGAACGAATCCATTCGGGGATAGGTTGAAACGAAGTGCCGCCGTTATATTCAGTGCTCAATGAAGCTCGACACACCGGGCCGATAACAACGAAAAGGTCTTCTTCTCACACGAAAATGTGTGCTTCCATTGAGCGTCATTCACCGAACGTCAGACGACACAAGTGACGCAGAAAAACATGAATAGATGAAAGATGTACATCGATGTACAACGCAGAAATATTCTATACGTTCTAGCTTTGCTCATATGTGAATTAGTGCAGCCGCGGATGCAGTAACTGCCATTACGTTATATCGTATAACGTATCGAAATGTGTTTGTACAAATAATGTGCTTAATCTCAATGGACGCTTTTTGCGAAACGTCGCATCAAGCTTTAATGCTATACAGAGACAACACTCGCAGGAATACGGTGCCGTTTCGTATAATTCAATTTCAATACAGTGATACATCATAACCAGATAGCAAAATTAATCTCCATTCAAAATTGATAGCTCTCGGCCGTCGAGACAGCCGAGGTAACGAGACAGCCCTCTGGGTCATGTGAGCCTTCGATTCGATCGACTATTGATTGTAGCGTTATATATTATAACTGAATAAAAATGCAATGGCAGAGTGGCGTCCTGCCTAAGTTCTGCTCGCCGGGACCCCAGATTTAGCTTTAGCGGTGACGCATTGGTCACATTCAAAGCAGGGCCACCGCACCAGCGTCAGGACAAATTCAATGACCCGAGTAATGACAATAGCTGTAATAACATTGGTCGTACAAGCCGTTCATTGAGGAAAAGGTACAGTTTGCCTTCGCTGATACCGTGAGCATCAATGAGTAAACGGAACGTAGATTGTATACGTCTATGCATATCGATTACTTTTCTGGTATGAAGTAAGAAAAAATGCTACGCAAGAACGCATTCGTTAATGTCTCCAGCATAATAATATACACGTAACACGTAATGACGGTTTTGTCAGACAACACGTATGGTTGTAAGCACGTGAAAGCACTCTCCTTATGGTTAGGGCAAACGTTTGATACTTCCATGTGTTTCGGTAACTGAACAGAGGGTGCAGGTGCTAATGTTGTTCACGTGTAAGACAGATTTGAAAATTAGTTGATTTGCTATGTTATATAGTCAGATTGATTAGCACTAATCATAATGCAAAAAAGCACTAAGATCTGTGACCTTCGTTCCGGTCCGGCCTCATAAAACCAGTAGATATCTTCGCTGCTCCCATAGATTGATCAGTCGATATTCTGACCCGGAAAGGGGATTCTTTGCGAAGAGGCAAAAACGTGCCATGTGTGGGCACATCCTTGTGTGATGTATATATATATATATATAATATATATATATATATATAATCAGAGCCATATATATAATATATAGCCAGAGATCTAATGAGCAAACACAAACGCATGATCCAAGCTGCTGGCAAATCATATCGCAAATTAGAACATAACCGAACCGTTTTTGAGGTGTGCGTTGTTACTATAAGGAACATGCAAACGTCTTCTCACATAGGGTATTTGGTGCTAGTAAATAATTCTAATTTGCCCTACTTTTCCTTGAGTCGTCACGTGTACGATTTTCCTACATTCCAGAAACATACTCACATCCTGCAGTTTTTAATGTACTACCGATTGCAATACTTTATAATCTACTATAGGCTAGAGCGCGAATGACGCTGAAGTCTCCTTAGTCCGTGGTTTGAAGTTCAGGCATGTCGACTCAAGCAAACTCTTCAGGTAGGACATTGCCTGACGTCTACCGAAGCCAAGCATTAGACCTGATAGGCTGAATGCGGCTTTTTCGTCCAGGCGACAGGAAAACCAACGGCTTCGCAGATCCTGTCTGTTGCTGCGTACGGTTATTTTCAGCACGTTTCGACCCGACCCAGGACAGCTCGACCCGGCGCGTCAGTAGGAACAGACAGCCAACTGTTGTCTGTAACAACTGCCACAGCAGAGCTGATAAACTAGAATTTGGACTCTTTGGGCTAAAGTCGGGCGGGCAATGTAAGGTATTATGCACTAGACCTGTTCAGATGAAGAATAAATCACATTTTTGCTGTGTCTTGACGAAAATAGATCCGTTTAAACGGTGAGAGGAAATCGAACCCCGTATTTACACTCAAGAAAGAAAGATTATTCAAACGAATTCGAACTATCCGAGCCCAGATCCGATTTTCACTTGTCGAACGCATCGTACAGAAGCACATCCGGATCACAGAAGTAAACAAAAGAATCCACAAAAACGACGTCCGAAAGCAGTGTCTCGGAAGTGATGTAAGTTTATCACTAACTGCCTTCAAAGGTGGCGACGGTTCGACTTGCTAATTAACGTACCCCGCCACTCGCAGGCAGACTTGATCATAGGCTGTTTCTAGTTGAATAAACGGCCAAATCTCACTCATTTTCACAGAACCCTGCCAGACTCCAGAAGTAATAGCGCCTCTCCGGTGCCAAAAATTACTCAGTGATTCAGCAATTTTCTATCTCTTTCGTTTTATCGAATGGTCCACACAATCTGGCACTAGCTCAGCTAGTTAAGAGACAGCACCTGAACACAATAATAAATATAAGGAGTTGCCATTGGTTCGAGCCTCGTAGAACGGCGTGTACGTGCGAAGAGTACGTGGTCAGCAAAGCAAAATGACTATTATAATTTTATACTAATATGATTATTGATATTACTCACCGACTCCAATTGGCGTCGTTGGCTGTTGATGGTGATGATGCGGGTGTGAGTTGTTGTGGTGATTTTGCGCAGACTGATGTTGCATCCCGCCGCTGCTAGCGACAGTCGTTGTCAAGCCTTTACTTGTGGCCGTTCCTGTCGAATGATTTAGAATTCCGTTGGTTACCGTCGCAGACCCAGTTGTAGAACCTGCCGAGGTAGAATTTGTTACATTGGAACTTGTGCCACTGCTGCTAGTACCGCCAGATCCAAGTAGCGTGAATGCCCCGCCATTTTTCTTAGTTGTGGCCGCCGACGCTGTGGTGGTGGTGCTCGTCGTTAAGGGCGACGCGGTCGCCCCACTGGAAGAGACTCCGCTTGAGCTCAAGTTTATGGAGGACGTGCCTCCGGAACCTGTCATAGCAAAATTACCGCAATAAGTGGTAAGATGATGTAAAAGAAAGAAAAAACACGTCGACCGTAAACCAGCGTTAACGTATGACGACTGTGGTAACGTGATGAGATGGAAAAGATAGCAATAACAAAAATACAATAGTATACTAATTGCTTAATAACTTGCCATGTATAACATTGCTAACAACAATAACATCTTAACAACAACAACAGTAGCACAAGCAAACGTTTGGGTTAGTGATTCTATTATACAGTATAGCACTAAAAAGAAGGATGTGAAATCGTGTGACTTTACACCCTTACAAACACACACACACACACACATATATGTAAACACATTATATAAACTTCATGTTCACGTTCAACCAATCTGTGAAAGCCAGTGCTAGCAGAAGTAGCACCTTAAACGTTCTCATATCGCGACGTGTTTACGTCAACTGGATATCTTAGCTGACGGTCAGCCAACATCCACTTTCAGGGTGCGACAATTCAAAAAATCGCATGAGGTCGTTTTTTTCGAGCTTTGTTTACACAGAAAGAAGAAGGAATAGCTAACGAAAAAAAACACAACGATGATGCGCAGAACGAAGGTACCAAGGGATTTGTTGAGCTACATTGCTTGTGTCAGCTGAAAGACAGTGTTGTGATATAGTAAGAGATGCAGCGAGAGACATGTTATGAGCTAAGTGTCGGCGTTAGAAGGGCACAGAACGAGTTTGCAGTCTGTATTCAACGCCTTATCACCGAATTAGGATGCTGGCAGCAGAACTCTAGAGGATAATGGCGAAGCTAGCAGGCGTGGGGACTACGTACTTTGGATGGATACTACGAGCGGGACTATTCCTCAGACCGACGCTGCCACCAATGTGGGCTAGGTTGTTTTTCATTGTGTTTCGGTGTGGTATATTGCTAGCTATAAGAGGGCAGTCGTTCCGTTTATCAGCTACCACTTACGTGTATGTAAAGGTATTTTTATTTGCTTTGTATTACGTAAGTGTGTGCCCTATACACAGCTGACGATATGTATCCATTAAGCGTTAGTATGCAATGGTGACTTGAGATTAATTTTTACGAAAGTAAAAATTACTGATTAATTAACAACTAAACAAAATACAGATGAAAACTCTGCAGCCAAACATCTAAATATTAGCAGGGTAGTATGTCATACAAGGTATGTAGGTTCTTGTAGGATCTCTTGCCGCTCAGGCCCATCTTAGTCACTATTTTTACTATCTTTGGACGGTTGCCTATATAATTTCCATCACGATATTATATTACTCACCCATCGTTTAGTTCACATCCACAAAAATAATAATTAAAAAAAAATTGCTATGTTTTGCTTTCTTTGTAATGTACTGGGTCGTCAAAAATATACCGGCCGGTTTTTTTTTCCTGGTAGATGGCTTTAAATATATCATGTATCAGGTAATACGAGTCGCGTCGGATCGGGTTTAGTGTCATCTGAAAGCTGATCTTTGACAGTAGTAGATATGCTAAAATTGTTGGAATGCTTTTATTCGAGCTTCAGATAGAACGCCGTGAATATGGGTATTTTTTTTGCAAAAATTCATTTTATAATTTTATTACAATGAAAGCGCAATGGATGCTGCCATTCGTCCCGTTTATGGCCAAAGGGAAAGCACGGCTCAAAGCTGGCTCTGAGATTTCGGTGTAAAAGATGCGCCGCGTAATTGTCAATCAATTACGAAAAAGCTGACGAGATTGTTGCCAAAGTTAAGCTGGACAACTACGATATCGCCAAGAAGCTAATGACCCACCACGATCATCATAATTTTAAACCATTTGAAGGAAATAAATTGCCGCAAAAGCAGAGACAGGTGGATTGATTTTTCGGTATGTCTCAGAAAATAAAAATTGAGTCACATACGATAATAATACGCAGATAAATCAAGTCAACCTGCCACACTCTGTGGCAGAGCCCAGGCTGACTCTTCTCTAAAGATCACCTTCTCTAGGGTCAGCCTCGGCCGTTTAATGAGATTAAAAAAGAATCCTACCTTACGAGTCTTCTGGGACCGTCTGGGAGAAACGATTGATTCGAATTTCTACCGTTAATAACTAATACTATAACTAGCCATTGAAAAGGACGACGGGAGCTAGCAAACTGAACGAACGTCGCCTTCGAGCAGGACAATATGAGAGGCCACATAGCTGTTAGGTCAAAACTGATCATCTGTTTTGGTCTCGGCAGAACTAAGCCGATGATATGTATTTAGCTTCAATGAAGAGAGGCAAAAGTCACCTGTCTAAATTTTTCGGCCAGGAACTGCAGTAGCTTTAGGAGTGTGGTCTTACTAGAAAAATGGCGCGAGGCCATCAACAAAAATGGCGCAAAGTTCTATTTTATACTAATTTTTAAATTCAAAACGTAGTCAATGCTCATTAAACAACCGTATATACTGTAGATTATTTCTCATACGTATATGGGTTGTTAACTAAAAAGGGCATCGATCATTATTATTCCTTGCCATTCGTTAACGGTCGACTTATCGAAAATGCCTAAAATCTATCATACTACAGATATTGGCAAAGTAGCGAACCTTTGAACAATCGAAATGTATTTAGCTGAGCTGGCTGGGGCCGCAAGATCAATCGAACGAGAGACCCAGTAGCAGACAGCATCAACCCTCGATCCTAAGTGTTTAGATTAAGCTAAGCATTCGGCTAAAAAGCGTATATGAAGCTTTCAAACAACCCTTTGTACTCTTACAAAAAGTTGGTATACAATAGAATGCTGCATAACATGTGTCGCAATCGACGTGTGCACCTATCGGCCAACTTGAACTCAGCTAAACATAGATAGCTGATCGATGTAGCTGTTTTTGTTCTCTAAACGAAAACATGAACTGTTCGAGGTATGGCACACATTCTGCCATAATGATATATAGGCATGTTGAACCATCATCATTCTGTTATTCTCTGTGTGTTTGTGTGTGTTTATGTATGGCTTATTCAGTTTCGGTGTACCGCTTCTCGTAGCCAATGGATACAGATGAGGATACACATATTTAGTTGTTATACGAAACCGCTTAACATTACGACGGTGGGTAACCTAGATGATAGCAAATGATCCGGCAAACGCCGTCACCGAGGCATTGAAAACAGAGAGAGAGAGAGAGAGAGAGAGAGAGAGAGATAGGTTGAGCTGAAACAAAAGATGACCTAAAGGAACGATGCGCGCATAGAGGCATCGCTTGAGCCAGCTTGCTGAACGAGTGGACGCTCTGGTGGAAAACATGGTCATAGCGCGACAAATCATCGGTGATCATTAACATCAGTTATCTGAAGGATTTGGCGACAACGTTTTCCTTCGCTGTCCAATAAAAGGACGAAGGAGTCGAAAACAACAAAAACATTAAACAGACATTAGCACATGAGCGCTAAATCCACACTGAGCTCCACCGAAAGTCATATACGACGACGCAGGATCGAATGTAGGTACTGTGTTGAAATGAAGCAAAATCAATTGTTACACAAGCTGAACAAACACGCACTTACGACCAGCAATTTCTTACGAAAATGTAATAGTTGTCCTGTTCGGCCTTTATTTAGTTTGGTTTCAACAAGGGCAAATTAATTATAGCTCACTGCTTTTTCGACTGTCTTTCTGATCCACCAGCTCACCAGTCAAACAAGAGATGGTTTTTATGGCCTTAATGCCTTTCGACAACTGCCGTGCGCGCCTAGCAAATTCTAGTTAGTACGGAACAGCGTCAGCGCGGGAACCGTGCATGCTACCACAAGAAGGAACTGTTGTGATTGGAAAATATAAAAAGAAATCTCATGTACACTCGATTTTCACCTATATGCATCGGGCATATCCTTATGACGTGAAGCGCACATAAAGTCCAATAGGCAATAAATGACGTTAGCTTTACCTCAAGTGCCTGATGACACTGCTATAGATCCGGCGTGTCCTAAAGAAAAATTACACATCGTGCATTTAACCATGACGGCATTTTTTTAATGTTTTCTACCGACTACCTCCTAGTGTTATTATTTCGATTCTTTTTCCACCATCCCTTGCTGCGGTTGTTGTTAACACAGAAGCATCGTTAGTGTTTTTACATGCCGGCTGAGGTCGATATATTATCATAGATTTAACGATACGATTACGAGGTTATAAGATTATGTATATACCCTTTAGTGAGTTATTTACGTCTGCTGAACTGCAGGAGTCCTAGGGGTTTGCTTGACATAAGGTCGTACAAGACATCAGTTCACTAAAAGCACGCGCTTATATATGCAAAGGCAAACTTATGGGCGCTACAGAAGCATCATGACAGAAAAGGAGCCGTTTCATTGCTAGGCCCTGCTGATACGAAGCGATACTCGAACGTGTTCTGCCAAATGGCATTAGTCAAGCCATTTCGACATACCAAGTAAGTTTACTTCTCCGACCGATAGCGGTAGTCAACAACATAATTGAAATTTCAGCGTCTGTATATAGTGGTGAGTAGCTTCTAGAGGTACACTAAAAGGAAATCGACATCGACGATGAGGTGGCTGAAGCCACACGAATGAAGACTTCTTTTTTTTTTCGATTCGCTGCTCCATTACCTACCGACACATGTAGGTGGAATTAGACTTTATCACCATTTTGATTGCCTCTGTCTTCCTCACACTTTATTTTTCGTTCTTCGCCATTTTTTTTTAGAGATTTTCCTATCCACGTTCGTATTTTCGTACTTTCGTACTGTGTATACGAGCGAGTTCGTTACGTTACATGGATGCTACATGGATGTTTCTAGGCTACAATAGCTTCAGTCGCATCGTTATCTGTCATTCGTCATATTTTTATTCTATGTTATGTCTTGGTCCCTATTTAGATCTCCGTTTTCTTCGACAACTTTAGCATCGGCCAGTATATAACGGATAACTAATCCTCATCAGCGGTTGGCCTGTTATCCCACAAAAGCATGCTGGATTCAGGGTTCGTGGCCAATTTTCCTAGCTTTCGGTTACAAACGTTGCATTCA